AATTTTCATTGGACTATTTACTGTTAGGATTAGAATGTGAAATGACCATTTTGACTCTCTACTATTTAATTATGTATTATATTTAGTAAAATTCAATAAAATTTAAATGTCTCAATGTAAAAATAAAATAATTTTGTTTAACTTTTTATTGATGTTTTATTTATATTATTTTTTAAAATAATTTTTTATAGATATTTTATTGATATTTTATTTTAAAATTTTGTTTATATTTTATTTAATTTCATTATTTAAATTTTAATAGATGTTTTATTTACTTTCATTGTTTAATTATTATTATTTTTGAAAATAAATTTATTTAAAATTTTAATTAAAAATATAACATATATTTTTACTGATATTTTATTTATTTAATTTTTAAAAAATAAATTTATTTAATTGGGTAAAAAATCAAATAAAATTTTATTTTATTTAATCTAACTAAAAATAATTAAAATATTAAAGATATGTTTAATATTGCTATTACTTAGTAAACAATTGAAAAATGGTAAAATAGTCTTTTGCTCATTTATCCTATTCAGTCTGTCCAACCAAACATTGAATTTACTAAAAATAGTCCTTTCCAAGCATCTAATCCCATGAAAAAACAAACACGGGATACACATCCAATCCAACCAAATAGTCCGAGAGATTCACAGTCCCAGGATTCAAGTCCGATGGATTCTAATCCGCCCTTATCCAGTCCGTCCAATCAAACACACCCAAAAGGGGCAGGGCTGGCCTTGAGATTTTTGGGGCCCAAAGCCGATAATCAACTAATAAATATCGCTAGATCATTTGGGGCCCTTCACATTTTTCTTTTTCATTTAACGGAATTTTTTTTTTGAAGGTAAATGACAAAAGATTTGTGTCAAAATCACAACAAATACTTAGTATTACATTATAACAATTAATAAGTATCACTTGATCATCACTCTTCTTGCATTTTTATAAGCAAATAAATCAATCATACTTGTATAATTTAGTTTTTTTTTTTGCATAATCATTTTTAATGGATAACAATTCTAATCCATTCAATCTTTCTTGGGACATGGTTGATTGGAGGTAATTTTTGATCATTTTCAACTTTGAAAAGCTTATTTTTCCCCAATATTATAATAGCAATTGAGCAAAAGACATGACAAATATTTAATTAATTGAATAGAAAAAAAGACCTATTTGTGCTGTGCTGTTGCTCTGAATTCTTGAGAAATTCGTTAGTGCTCTGTTGTGCTGCTTCTCTCAAAATTTTGGAAAAAGTGAATTAAGAATTAGGGTTAGGAATTAGATAGGGAGAGAGAATGGGCCCTTTTAATTTTGAATGAGCCTTTTAATTTTTTAATGGGTCAATTTATTTTAAGTTAGTTTGGGTCTTCCTTAATTTTTTTTAAACTTAAAACATATCTAATATATTACACTAAACTATACTAAAAGGGGCTCTCTTTTTTGGGTCTATTTTGAGGGGCCCTAAGTCATGACCTGGTGGGCCTATGCCCAAGGTCGGCCCTAAAAGGGGGGAGAGAGGAGGAGCCTTTCAATAACAAATGCAAAATTCAATTTTTGCAAAATTGCCCAACTAATGCAGCAAAACTAATGGGAAATAAGTGTGTAAGTTACATACTTTATATACACATGTGTGTATAATTGCAGCCACCAAACAAACCTAGTCCAAAAAAAAAAAAAAATTAGGTTGATGGGCCACCAATCCAGCAAGCTTCAAGTCCCAAGATCCACGGACCCGATCAGAGCTGGCGGCTTGCTTGTGACAATTTTTGCATAACCAACTTAGGCCATAGTTTTGGCCCAAGCCCATCCTTCAAGCATCCATAACTCCTTTCATTCGAAAAATTTAGATGTCTCAAAGGCTCATGCCCTTATAAAAAACCTGAGATTTAAATACCCATCAATGTTTTCCTCTGCAATCAATGTGGGATAGGTGGTTATACACCATTCCAAATACATTCATGAGGCCAATTTTATGAGACATTTTCTCATTCAATTCTCAATGATTTTTTGTCATTCTTTTTGTGATGTAAAGATTTTGTTACAAAGAATTTAAACTCATTTGATCCCACCTCAACCGATAGTTGGAACCCACTTTAATTTTATATTAAAGTCACCATAAAATAATTTTTTCCAACAAATCTCTCAAGAGCACAATGTGTTTCTACTATTAACAAATCATCAATTATCAAGTTCATTTATTGTTTTTGTGTGACTCTACACAAAACCATAGATCTCATCCTCTCAATCAATCACAATGCTCTATCTGGCCATGTTCAAGAGCACCAAATAACTTCTAGGCAATGACAATCTTAAAAAGAAATCAAGACTAAAAAAATTTAAAAATGTAGAAAATCAGACACAACGTTCTTACATAAGATAAAGCTTACAAAATATGTAGGTCTCACCCAATGTAAAAGAGTTTTATTCAATTATCTTGTTCTCTCAAGTTTCAACTCAAAAATTCCTTTTGAATTTTCATTTTATTTTCAAGTCACTTCTCCATCTTTACCACTTCACAACCAACTTCATTAGTGTTATAATTGTATATGCCAAATCTCACGGGGTTATTGATAGGGTAAATAGTTCATTTATTTATTTATTTTTTGAGCAAGTAGAAAATAAAAAGATATATTAACATAGATTCATTACAAACCTTGCAAAGTTTATGTGTTGGATCCACCACTGAGCTATTAACTTTCGAAATACATAGAAACTCAAAAAGATAACAATAAAGGCCTATTTTGAGAAGTTGATTAAATGTTAATTTTTTGGTTTGTTGGCTTTTCTAGAGTACATCACTTCTATATTTTTTTGTACGTTTTTTCAAAGAAAAAAAAAAAAACTAAAAAGTCAATTTTTAATCTATTTCTCAAAATAAGCCAAAATATCATAAAATGTCATAACAAAAATCACAAAGCATGCCTTTGCCTCCGCAACTAGTAGCAACGGAAGGTTAGAGCATCCACATCAGGCTCTCTACAATGGCTTTGAAGCTATTGTAGAGAGCAAAAGCTGTAAATACGTGCTCTATCAGACTCTCTATAGCAACCATTCATTTTCACTTTGCTACAAAACCTCACCTGGTTAAGCGAGACATTGTTCATAGGTTAATCTATTTTTATTATATTTTCTGGAGCAAAGCTGGTTAAAAAGCCATGGCTAGTCATCCACTCGGATGTCCTGTGAGTGCCGTGTAACAAAAGAAGGAAAATACTCAAATTTGGCTTGACCGGTCGACTGCCCCTCAGTGGGTTCGGCCCTCCTGTGTTGTTGATGTTCTGCTGTGGCTTTGGTGTTGATCTGTTGCTGTCTTGGGCCTTATTTTATACTTGTTTTAACATCATTTTGCACTCCAAAGAATAAAAAAATAATATTTTAATGAAATAGAATTTTAGAATAGAGAGTTTAACGGAGTGTGTACATAAAAAAAAAGCTAGCTAAAATAGAAAAATAAATTTTAAGTTATAATTTAACTTAAAATTTACTAAAACTAGTGCGGATGCTCTAGGCTCTCTAAGCTCAACAGTCCACAAATTCCTGATTCTCCTCGTAGCACACCCAAGGGTAGCCAGCCTTATACCCTTTATATAGGGTCTATGTGAAATTTATACGAGTGGATGTCCAGATCTATTTTTAGTATTACTAGATGCGACATGAAATAACTTTTCTTATTAACTGGTAGATTGTTGATTCTAAACCAGATGTTAATTTGGGAAATTTATTCACAATTATGACTATATTTTATTTCTCATCACTATTAAATTAATACAGTGTGTACATATAAGTTAATAAACATATTGTCATTTCTTTTGAAATAATACTATATACACTAATTATTAATTAATAAATCTTATATTATTTATTAATTAAAATATTAATGTAAAGTAATAGATCCCAACACTGCATATATAGACTTATTCTAACTAAACTAAATAATTTAAAGTGAATATGTTAGTTTAATTTTAATCATTAAAACTTATAAAAACATTCAGAATTTTGTAGCAGAATATGAGTGAGCACATTGACTAGTAAATTAATGCCAATTAAAATATGAACGAGAGAGACACAACAATTTTTGTGCATTGATTTGATTCATTTTATGCTAGCTCATTATTCAATTTGGGTTCGGTTTCTTTTAAATTCGAAAATTTAAATATGTCATATTTCAATAATTTAAAATGTTCATTTTGTGTAACAATTTATTCATATCATCTATGAAAAAATTAAATTAATTTGATAATTGTTATCTTTTTATTTGATTGCGTTTATTTCCAAAAAACAAACGGATGGTCTATTTTAAAAAATACACTTGTCGTTCATATTTTTAAAGACAAACACAATAAATAAAAATATTATAATGATTATCAAATCAACTTAATTTTTACTATGGATAATATACACTAAGGATCCTGCAAAATGAAGATTCATACCATAGAAATGGAGTCTTTGATGGATTCCACGGGTTCCTCAAATTCTCTTAAGTTCACATTTGAATTTGAAAGAAACTCGAGTTCCCATTTCAATATCATTTTGTTGATAATTTCGTTTTAAAATTGAACCAAATTAATTCAAATTAAAAATTTTAAGAATAAATTTGCAAAATTAAAACTTAGAGAATCATCTAAGTCACACCTAACACAAACTTAAGCACTCTGTATCTTGGTAAGAAATTATAAGAAATAACGTAAAAGATGGTGATACATCCCCCCATATCTTTCCCTCCACTCCAACGAGGTGGCTGAAAAAACCCAAATTTCAATTTGACAGCCTTCAAAAAAAAAAAATAATAATATATCTTTCAAAACACAACTCCACACTCAATTATAATTCAAAAACTAAACCAAACGGAGCCCTTATCTTTCAAAACACAACTCTACAATTCTAAAATTAAATCAAACGAGGCGTCCTAATTAGTATAACATTTTTGCTTGCAAATGTTAGTTGCGGTAAGATAGTCACCACACATTTATGAACTTTTATATTAAATTTAAGATGCATTTCAAGATAATTTCTATAACATGTCATTAATATTCAAAAGTTGCTACAGAAGTTTTACATACTCATAAAAGTTTTGAACCACATAGCGGCACGTGCTTCCTTACAATTGCTTCTGCTCCCTTTGTTATGCCTCTCAGGGCAAGAGAAGCAGCAAAACTTCGCTGAATAGGAACTTCAACCCATGTAGTTTGATTTGATCAACATATCTAAACTACATATTCCTTTCTAATACACTTACATACATGTGAATTTTAATTTCAACACCAAGATTTGCAAAGAAACCTACGATTTATGAGATTTATAACTGACAAAACACAGTGGACATGACAGAGCATCAAATGTAATAATCAAACTCAAAGGATATCAAAAATTTCTAGTTGGTCAATGGGCTCCACAGCATACTCATCGACATCATTCGGTGCAGTTCTAGTTTGACGCTCCTTTTTTTCATAGACAATGGGATTGGCATTGATTAAACCAAAAACCATTTTCCTTAGTCAGCCTGATGCAGTTTGCAGAACCTTCACATCAAAAACATTAAAAACTATGGTCCATGCTCAAAAGCGACCAAATTGAAGCCAAAATGATATTTAATTACTGCATAAGCATCGAATACTATTGTTCCCTTGTTCATAAATCATAGGATGATGTGAGAAAGGAAACAGAATAACAATAAATCAGCAGATTCACATTCAATTCCAATTGAAATTCTTCGTGGCCTAAATTTGCTTAACAAATCGTCGTTTATTATAATACATGATCACTCACCGATACATCATTAACCCCAAATTGTAAAAAACAGCACGTTGAAGCGGGGATATCTAATGATTTCTATAATCAACTCATAGAAAAGAAAAAGAAGAAAGAAAGATGGGGAAATGACAAAAAGAACCCAAAGTTTAACCCTTATAACAAAATAAAAACCTAAGTTTTTAATTTTGTCCAATTAAACCGTAATCTTTTGATTTGTTTTCAGTCTAAATCATCAGCCAATTTTTGTTAAGTAAAACCAACCAAAAAAGGATATTTTAGACATTAAACTCAATGTAGGTGTACATAAAATGTCTAAAACATCATTTTTCGTTGAGTTTAATGATTAAAAAATATATTTTTTTGTCAGTTTTACTAAACAAAAAAAGACAAATGGTTTAGATTGAAAACAAATAAAAAGTTTAGGGTTTGAATTGGTAGAATTAAAAACTCAGTTTATTTTGTTACAAGGGTCAATTTTTATTTTATTTTATTTATTTATTCATTTATTTTTTTTTTTTGCAATTTCCCCAAGAAAATCACTTTGTCTTATTCGATTATACAGGAAAGGTCTGTCCCTTCTCCATTAGAAGAAAGTAGATGATCACGTAGGGTGCATGAACCAAAGAAAGGGAATACTCAGCTTGAGAAATTGAATTCCACAAGTTCGAGTATCTGCGCATTGGAGGAGGACAGAGAGAAGACTAATTCCTTGATACCTTATTCTGCTCATTTTTTATATACATCATTAGTTAGCTTTTTAGGGGATTCTTTAGGATAAGCCTGATATTCATAAGAAAAAGACAATACCATTAGCTAGTTTCATCCTCACTTTTGCTTCCCTCATCCATTACCAATGTTTCATTCATGATTTTCAACCCATATATGTGATGTTTATATATTTTCCCAAATTGACAGCTCAACTGCTGAAATTTTTTATTTCTTTTCTAAACAATCCTTTGTCAAATGTAAGTATAAATATTTTTCCTCCACATGTTAGTAAACAACTACAACATCAATTGTTTCAAGAGATTGAAATAGTGTACCCAAGTGCTGAAACTAGGGTTAAAAAATGTAAATCTTAATCATGGTCAAGATATGTCAATTTGGGGGTATTTTAAAGCATTTATTATTAGAATAACAAAATTATATTGCCTATACACCCCCTACCTGAACATAACAGATCAAATTATAAACTAAAACAACCTCCAAATCAAAGAACATGCCTTCAAACCACAAAAATCAAATATAGGGTCTCACATACATACATATACACATATATAACTTACAAATCTACAAGAAAATACACACATGCGTGTATACATACTGGATTTTCGAATGACAATGATTATCTCCAAGATTCTGGGAACTTTTATAGCAGTTTAAGTGAAAATTAACAAGTAATTTATATAAAATAGATAGATTTTATAGCAGTTTAAGTGAAAATTAACAAGTAATTTATATAAAATAGATAGATATGTAAAGATTTATACCTTTCGATGTGAGAGAACAGAGTGCTGGAGAGAGGGAGAGAGCGCCTAAAATTGAGGAAGAAACAAGGGATAGAGATTGTTAAAGAAAAAAAAAAAAAAACCAAGGGATGGAGAGGCAAGAAAAAGAAGGTATATATTTAGGGACTATAGGCACCTTATGAGGACCAAATTTTGGAATTGTATCATTAAGTATATTAATTGGTATAGTAATTGATGTGTTGTATTATTGTATAATAATAAGTAAAGAAAATAGACATGCACATATTTTAGTATAAAACTCAAAAAGTCACAAAAAAATTAAAAAATTAATAATCTATATTAAAAAATCAAATATTCATTTTTCTCTTTACTTTTTGCACGTCTTTTCATAAAAAAATTAAAAAGTTATTCCAAACATACTAACTTTTTTTTACCTCATATTTCAACCAAAAAAATCAAAAAGTTATTAAAATAGTCTGTTCCTAAACGAGATCAATTTTTTTAAAAAATAAGTCATAGTAAAATTGTCGCTAAAAATAATTTGGGTGAAGCACTAATAAATCCCAAATAGTAATTTTATAAACTATTTGGTCATTTCTTTTTTCTTATAGACTCAAAAGTCTCATTCTAGTATGAATTGCATAAAGGGTCAAGTATAAACGGGCGTGGTGTTGTGTGTTGAGGGATAAATGTGGGTCTTCTCATAATGTTGAAATTATTAAACATAACACTTCAAAAAAACTCTTTAGTGTATTTTTTCTGAACGTAACACTCCAATGTAGTACTCTAAAAATGTAACACTCCAACGGAAGATATTAAAAAATTCCTTAGTATACTTTTTCAAAACGTAACAATGTAACATTTCAAAAAAATTCTTTAGTGTACTTTTTCCAAATGTAATATTCTAATTAATGTAACACATAAAAACTCCTTAGTGTACTTTTATCAAACGTAACAACGTAAAAAAACTGCTTAGTGTATTTTTTTTCCAAATGTAACACTCCAATTAATGTAACATACAAAAACTTCTTACTGTACTTTTTTTAAACGTAACACTCTTTTATAAACACTCCAATGTAATACCAGAAAATCATACTAACAAAAATATAGATTTCCATACTTGACAACCAACACTTTAGTCACCAATCTCCCCCCCCCCAAAAAAAAAAAAAAAAACTTCTACATCTCACATTTCCATTCCCATACCAAAAATAAAAATGAAAAAATTGGCAATTGAATCACAAAATGACATTAATTTAAACTCAAATGACACCAAATCAAATAAATATAACTTTTCAAAATAAAAAGGACTAATTGGTTCATAAGAAAACTCTTAGAACTAAATCGATCAACATTCCCTCATATGAGATTTATGAGTAAATTTTTCAAATATTTTTTTGTGACAATTTTTTGCATATGTCGCTAAAAATTAATAATTAGTAACTTTTTTTGTCACAATTTTTATAAATAATTAGTGACATTTATTTGTGATGAGTTTTTAAATTGTCACTAAAAATTAAAAATTAGTGCCTTTTTTTTTTTAAACTGTGATTAAAACTTATAATTAGTAATATTTTTTGTGACAAAATTTTTAAACTGTCGCTAAAAATTAACAATTAGTGATGTTTTTTAATAGCATTTGATGAAAACGTCATTAATTATCATAGGACCTATTAGACAATAAGTCCATATATTATGACTTATACGTAAGACCCCATTAAAGAATTTATGGCTCATAACTAAACTAATGTTAGAGTTAATTACCTAAAAGTCATATTTACAAATATTATGGTAACTCAAGTCGTATTTAAGATTTTTTGAACCAATAAGTCCTATTTAGTAAAATTGATAATATTATCAATTTTTTTCAATTTTTAAAATTAAGAACATATCAATTTTGCATAGTAATGTTTTAGATAATTATTTCACTAACTAATGAAATAAAAATAGAGCATGACATTAAACATTTTTGCTTTTCTACTTATTGGTTTGATTCAACTATCCAATAAAACTGAAAACATTATCAGTTTTTTTCCAGTTTTAAAACTGAGAATATTATCATTTTTTTTTAGTTTTAAAAATATTTTTTTCCCAGTTTTGCATATCATTGTTCCATCATCATGCTCCTTTACAGATACAAGATTTTCAGTTTTGCACAAAAAATAATTCAGTTTTTTCAAATAAAAAACACATTAGTTTTTTTTTTTTTTTTTCAATTTGAAAGTTAATGCTTTAAAGTTTTGAAAATCAAAATAAATGTCAAATCATCATGTTCCTTTATAGATAATCATAAATGATGAACAATCATTATTTGAAGGGTAATTCCGACTATTTAAAATTTAATGGGATTTAGAAGGTCAAAAAAAATCTTAGTTAAGATTTAATGGAGTATAAGTTCATAAATTAAGACTTGTGTGTGAATGCCCTATAATACTATAACTAAAGAAGAAAATTGAACATAATTAAAGAAGAAAATAACATAATTAAAGGTGCATATGGTGCACCCCTTTCAAGGATGTGTCTGTTAGAATTTCTCATTTAGGTAACATAAACCCTAAATTATTACATATTTATAAAAAATAGAACCCTAAATTAGTACTTATTATCATATTTAGCTTGTTGTCTTTGGCATCGGTTTCCCGGACTCCAACCTGTGATGTCCCTGGTTTTGGGTTTGAATAGTTTGTGTGAAGGAGGAGTATATACTTCATTCGGTGTTTCATTCATCGTTTTGAGTCGTTGAATTTTCTTTCTACTCAAACTTAACCTCTCTTAATGTTTTTGAGTTGAAATTTTTGAGTTTTGGGGGTTAGAACTTGCCTTGGGGTGTAAAACCATTTTCTGGGCTGCCTGTCAAAACCGCTCGTGCGGATTGGGGGAACCGCTCAAGCGGAACCACTCAGAGGAGGGGGGTTTTCTGGGCAGAATTTCTGCTTGTGCGAAATTAGGAACCGCTCGAGCGGATTTTGGCCAAATTTCTCGGCTGTCTTTGTGCCATTCCGCTCGTGAAGAGCAATGCCAAACCGGTCGTGCAGATTTGGGATTCCACTTGTAACGCCCCACTTTTTATTACTCGAAGTCATTACCAAATTCATTAACTTAATTCAAGTTCAGAGATAACATGTGAAAATAAACTCTTTAGTCCCATGAGTAGAAATGAATAACAATTCTCTCATCCGAATGCAAATTAAATACAACATGAGCATACTGAATAAAATAGGCTTACAATCATTAAAGAATCAAAAGAAGGGTGTAACCCTTTTACAACAATGGCACTCTGCTAACACAAAAGAGGCCCCGTGGCCAACAAATAAGAAGATCCACATCTTGTAGCACATCCTTCTTAACACCTGAAAAAGATTTAACAACGTGGGATGAACGTATAGTCTAGTAGGGATCTCAACATGGCCCTCAACAATAACAACTTACAGATAGCTATGATCATCAATGCCCAATTTCATACTAGAATAATAATGTGGTAGTTTATACAAAATATACATAATTATGAACTTTTCTCGAAAACAACCATTTCATTCAACGCTATAAGCGATTCATCTTTCTTTTCTTTTCACTACCCTCTGTTCCCAAACTTTCACAACAATAACGACTTCTTGGAAAATCAATTTCTCTAAGCCCATTACCTTTCTCCCATTTTCCATACTTACAACAGATTTTTCCTTTTCCAAAACATACTTTCAAATACCCAATTTTTCTTCACACTTTCCCAAAATCTCACAATGGCATTTTTGTTTTGTTCCCAATACATTCATATCTATACATGCATGCCTTCAATAAAAGGGAGCTAACAAATCATCAACATGTATATAATCAACAAATGAGGCAACTCGGCCATCCAAAACTATAACCATCACAATCCATAATATACTCAAATACACTGAGACAAAAACAATAAAACTCTGCTCTACCGACTATATGCACAGTAAGCCAAGGATACAACTCTCACAACGGTATGCCATTTTACCAGGCGCTAGCTGGAAGGGTGTGGTACCTTAGATTCTTAGCGCAGTCAGTTCTCCAGGCGCTAGCTGGAAGGTAACGGTACCTCTGATTATAAGCGCAGGGCATATCACCCATAATCACAATACAACAGAGTATAACCAACTAGCGTAATACATACACATAAACTATCAAGATACATAAGCAATGTGTTAAAGTATATGAACACATAGGTATGTGTGGAGTACATCCCCTATCTTCTCCCACACACTGGAGTACATCCCCTATCTCCTCCCTAATAATTATACATATATAATGTATCATAGCACTTCATTACATACAATGTTCAATCAACACAATGCATATACGACAATTCAACATAACTGTCATCCTCCACCGATGACCAAGGACAAAACCTCTAGATGCATGTATTCAGTACATCTATTAAAAGACTCAACTATCGTGAGATCTTAAACCCAACAACAACGTTAGCATGATAAGTAAAGGTAAAACCCCAAATGTGTATATTCAATACACAAGATACAATATTTCAATTCCCAAATTCGTTTTCCATTTTCAAAATCGACTTGTTCCACCACTTATTCCAAAAACACTCTTCCCATTTCACAGAACCAAAATCATTCCTCTCATTTCACAAAACCAATTTCATTCTTTCATAACCTTCCAAATCAATTACGCAAATTAATTCATAACAGTAAATTTGGGGCTTTTCTCCCTTTTTCTCAATATTGACCAAAAAGGCTCAAATACCAACAACAAACAACAATAACCACATTTGAGACCCGAAATACATATGTATTGGCCCAAAGAACAAAACCCCTCTTTCAAACAACCAACCCTAAGTTCACCCTCATGATTTTCAAACAAACCTAACATGGATATGATTTTCATGCAATACAAAACTACCACATGTCTATCTATAGATGAAGCATTGTAAAAGAACAAGGAAATCCCTACCTTAAATTCGGAGCTCAAATGGAGAAGATGAAAAATTTTGAGATGCTCCAAATCCCAAGATTTCAGGATCAAAATGTAGCCCACAACGAGATCAACACTTTTTACAAAGGCCCAAGGATAGAGGATCACTCCTACTAGATCAAACCCTAGAGAGAAGTTGGAGTTTTAGAGTGAGGTGCTCTCCAATGGAGGTTTTGAAAAAGTAGAAGAGAGAAAGGAAATCAAAATGTGATCCAAAATGTCACTTTTCGGATTGAAATAACTCGAGCATGGAACTCACTACTCGAGCGTCAGACACAGACTCACGCTCGAGCGTCAAAAGCGCCGCTCGAGCGCCGGATGCACACTTCCAGAAGTTTTGCAGACCATGGTCCCCGCTCGAGCGTCAGACTCCTCGCTCGAGCGGAGGAACAAAATCAAAGGTCCCGCTCGAGCGTCAAAACGCCCGCTCGAGCGGAGAAACAAAAATGAAGGGCTCGCTCGAGCGTCAAAATCCCCGCTCGAGCGTGAAGGCCAAAATCTGGGCATCAACTCAAGGTTTCTAAACACAACCAACCTGTTTCAAACCTGCCCAACATAACCCAAGACTCAAATACAAAGAGTAAAGGATGAAAATGAGAATAAGACAGCAACATAACCACGGAACCAAGTCCGGAATACAATAAACAAAGGAAGGGAAAATCGGGATCGCTATACCACTTGTGCGGAATTGGAATCGCATGTGCAGATTTCGGCACATAAGTCTCGAAATTTGTACCCCTTTCTCTCAAAACTAAAGCCACAAGGGTATTTTGACCACTTTTTCAGCTCTCTCTTTCTCTCTCTCTATATATATATATATATATCCAATTTTTCTCTCCTTCTCTCTGCAAACCCACCAAATTTCAATCTTCTCTTTAAGAGTTATCAAGATCTACCAAGAATTTGAGAGGGCTTCTTACACCGAATCGAAGAGGATGACGAGGGCTACATTCTCACCGATCGAATCATGTTTTCATCAACATCCATTTTTAGGGTTTTTCTCTCCTTTCCCTTCCAAGCTTGAGATAGGGATAATCTTTGAGTTATATATACATTTTTGCAAGTTTATATGTGTTTTAAGTATTTTACCATGCTTTGAGTTATGATTTTGGGTGGTTGAACCCTAGAGGATGTTTTGGAGTTGATTTCATCTATTTTTCCCAACACTCTTGAGAACATGAGCATGTTATAAGGTGTGTGTGTTGTTTTGGAATATCTCTTTCGAAAATGAAACAAAAAACTTGTTTTAATGAAAACCCTAGATTTGGGGATTTTTGGTAAAAAGTTGTGAGATTGGAAAATTGATACTTTATAATTTACCATGTGAGTAAATGATGGAGGAAATTCCATAGTTGTATCAAATGAAGTGATTTCATAAGAAAATGAGGAATTATAGAATTTGAAAAACTTGAGCTTCTTGTTGTTATTGTGTAAGAACAAATGGTAAAAATGATGTTTAACATGTGGAGAATTCATAAATGTTGATATTATATTTTGTCTCTTGAAAAAATAAATTATGATGTTATGTTGAAAAAAGATGTGAAAATTTGATCACAATGGAGGATTGTGTGGATGAATTGAGAATTGAGAAATTTGAAGGCATTTGATATAGAAATATATATTGCATTGGCACTTGATTCAATTATCATCGCCCTTTCAAATTGTCATTGTTGAGATGTTCAAATTGAACTTTATTATTGGATTGGGCATTGCATCGCTTTTTCGTTTTTATCATTAATGAAAATAATTTTGAATATTGCATTGGAAAAAGTATTTCTTTGAGAAAGAGAATTGTTTTGGTGAAACAAGATTATATTGATTTGTTTTGGAGGTAAATACGTTGGTAAGTTCGAATAGGGGGTATAGTTGGTATTGATTAAGTTGGCCTAAGTGTCCCTGATGAAAGACCACCGAAAACACGTGCGGAGGAAGTACCACGTGCCTTCCGGTTAGATACTGGTAAAGTGGGGATTGGTAGTACTTGTTATGCCTACTTGCAGATGCCAACTTAGGGATTACTTGAGTCGTATTTACCACCTCGTTGAATTACGTTGAAATTATTGAATTGTTAAATTTTCAAGATTGCATTGTGCAAAAAATTTTCAAAAGATAAAGATATATGTTTTTGAACATGGTTTGGCATGTGCATTCATCCCATGAGATTATATAAAATGCATATACTTTGTTGAGGTTTTGCTATTGGGCTTTGTGCTCACTCTTATGAGATTTTGTACAAGAAAGGATGTGGTGATCCTGCCAAGTTAAAGGCGTGGAGATATGTTTTGAGCGCACAAGGCTCTTTTCTTTTGTTGTAATTGCTTTTGACAAGCCAAGAGCTTTATGTGTATGGATTTGAAACCACTTTTGTGTAACCGGGCTTAAGTCTTGGAATTTGTAGCCCTTGAGGGCATTAATTTGTACAAAACTTCCTTGCTACATGCTATAGATTCATATTTTAAAAATGTTGAATATATAATCGCATGTGGAACATTCTTTTGTACATCTTTTGATGCTTAATGAATACAAATATTGGAGATTTGATGATGATGTTAATCTTGTGATTTACTTAAGTTTTACATTAAACATTGGAAGTTGAGGAATCTTTATTGTATAAATTTTTGGGGCGTGACAAACCTGTGAAAAAGTGGATTTCATTAAGGAAAAATTACTTATAAGTGAGATTTATTACTAAATATTGGTAAGTTTTTTGAAATAACAATCGCAATGCAGAATACAAAATTAATTATCAAAAAATAGTATTTTTTTAAAATTTTAAATTGACCAATATACCATATTCTTGTCTTTTTCTTAACTTTCCTTCATCACAACTTTCATGTCACTTATTCACTCACACTCTTTGCAAAGAAGGATTTTACTTTCGATATTTATCTACTATACAAACAAAAAAGCCATACATAATTTTTATACATAATGATATGATTTATTATGAACATTTCATTTCAAAACAAAACACCATTGAAGATAAATTTATTTATAATAATGACATTGCTACATCATTCTTGTGGAATTTTTTGTATAAATTTTATGTATGAATAAAAATTTTCAACTTATAAACCAATCATGAGACATGAGTTATCTTTCTCACAATTTCTTATCATTGCTCACAAAATCATCCCATTCAAATGGGGTGTAAGGATTGTTGTTATTGTTGAAAAAATATATAAAATTTGTATTGAAAGATGTGAAAATATTTTGAGATATGTGAACAGTGTATTAAGATTAGAGTAAATTACATTGATAATCCTTCCAATTTGTTCATTATATCATTTGGTCCTTATAATTTCAATTAGCTCGATTTTGATCTTTAATTTTAAATTGTGTCAATTTAGTCAAATTGATAATATCAATTAGGGTTTTTAAGAAAAATGGTCACTAAGTTGATTGAGACTAACTCATTGAGTTGAATAAATTTATAATTTTGTCTATAAAATCATAATACATATTGCTGATGTGCACATTTTCTTTAAAAAAACACTAACAATTGCAATAAATTGGATTAAATTGAAACAAAATTATAAATTCAATGTCAAAATCGAACCAATTGAAATTACAAAAATCCAAATGACACAAGGGCAGAAATATATGAACTATCGGTGTGATTTGTCTTTAAGATTTTAAATATTTTAATATTTTGTGCATCTTATTGACAACCCTTAGAACTACCATTAGTAGGACGAACCACCACGAGTTATTTATGAACGATTTAATTTGTTTGCAGAAAGTTTTTGAAATAAGGTAGAAATAGGGAAAAAATTATGGAAAAATTATAAATCAATGGCTCCTTCACAAAATATTTACAATTCATGAAAATGTTTATCATTTTAATTATTAAACTTGATAAAATTTATCATTGATTTAATTTTATTTTTGAAAACATGAACTGAATTGCAATTCTCGTGAAATTATCAAATATACTAGTACACAAAATGTACTAGTACACAACGTGATTATGTGTATACTCATTTTCCACATGAATCCATGATCATGTTGTCTCATTTCTCCAACAAAGTGGTCACATACCTCTCATATGAGAGTTCAGATCCTTTAGAGTTCCTTCTCTAAAGTGATCTCTCTATAGTTTGATCTAATGGCTGAAATGAAGAGAAATCAAAATGACGTCGTTTTGATTAAGTCCAAAAAACGAAAACAAAAACGACGCAGAACGAAGAGAGAGACAGAGAAGTGACCCCTTACTTCCCTCTCAATCGACAGAGGGAGTCCTTTAGTGGTGCAGCAGATTGAAGATTGCTTGGTGGACCCAAAACTTTCGATTTCCTGATGTAGTTGCATTGTTGTGTTGCTATTGTTATACTAACTTGCAGTTTGGGATTTTTTATTATACTAGAAGATTGTTGCTAGCATTGTGTTTTTTATTCTAACACTTTCTACTAGTAAATTTTTGTTTTCCTTATAAAGATTATTCATATTTTCCATTATCTATATACAGTGATTAAGTTTTAATTTTGCATCTAACTAATATGTCACTAATACCATCTCACCATCAGATTAAGTTTTAGATTAATATATGATGAGAGTGAAATCAACATGAATGAAATATTTTTCCCGTTGCTCAATAATTTATATGAGTGATATAGGTTAGTATTTGATGTATGACAACTTCATAATCCATCATATTATCAGCTAAATCCTCTTCTTCTTTTTTTCCTCTCTCTCTCTTTTAGCCTCTATGGCATCAATTTTTTTGTTTTCAGCCAAGCTCTCTTATGTACAATAGAACTCCTTGACAGCATAAACCAAAAAACGAAACTATGAAAAAACTAGATAGAGAAGGCATACATATAAACATATAGAAACCGTAACTAGTTATAAATATTTGATGATAATGCCACAAGTACAACCACTTCCATGCCTTTTCTAGCTTAACAATTACAGATTCAAAAAAGAAAAGAGGGAGGAGAAGAAAAGTGAGGAAAAGAAAATTCTATAACATCAAAATAACCTATACTTGCGGCTTTAGTTAAGAATTATTTCTTCTTCCATCCTAATGCCTTTGTCCGCTAACCCCAAGAAATACATTTCTAATCTTGTGGAGTTCTTTGAGAACATCTTTCACACTCATTCTTTCACTTGGCATTTCAGTAGAACATGAAACTCCAATTTGAAAGATTGGTACTAGGCAAGCCTCTAGTTTAGAAATGTTGGTTGTACTACTTTGCATGCTCCTACTTGGCTCCTCTTCCATTTCCAATATGATTTGGAGATCAACGATCTGCATTACTTGCTCTGGAAGACACATTTTTACATAGCTATGGAGGTTTACATTACCTATAAACATGTTACTTGTTGGTTTTTTTCCTGTGAACATTTCTAGTAGTAACACTCCGTAACTGTACATATCACTTTGCGTTGATACCTCCCCACCCATACCATACTCTGCAATATGAAATAGTGAAAAAAATGTCCAATTTTTAAAATTTTGGTATGATTGTTGAACTAGTAAGTTGTATTTTTTTGCTGAAAAAAAAAAGTTCAACATTTCAAGAGATAAATTATTTCAAGGGTTAAAATCTATGTTCAAATACCATTGGGGTAGGACAATGGTTGATTTAATTTGTTGTGGTAGCTACACAAACAAAAAGGCAAAGTCAAGGAAAGTCATTTCTAAAACAAGGCTTAATTTCTATATAATCTCGTAATTGGTTTTTAGTTCACCGCAAGATAATAATATAATGTAACAAAATAATATTTCTTAATCAATTTCAGTGTAAGAAGCAACAAACAATAATAAATAATATTTCTTAATCAATTTCAATGTAAGAAGCAACAAACATATACCTGGGGCAACATAGCCAATTGTTCCTCTGATCCCAATTGAACTTGATTGCTGATGAATAGAAATTCCATTAGTTGCTGAAAAAATCTTTGCCAAGCCAAAATCACTAACATGGGCACACAAATCACCGTCAAGAAGAATATTACTTGGCTTTAAATCACAATGAATAAAAGCCATTTCACAATGATGATGAAGATAATCCAATGCACAAGCCACATCAATGGCAATGTTCAGCCTTTGAACAAAGTTCAAATTCTTAGGTTCATGTTGCTCCAAAAGACTTGGGTGTAACCAATTTTCTAAGCTCCCATTTTCCATGAACTCAAAGACCAAAGCCTTGAAGTCGTTGCCTTTAAAGTCAATGCTTGAGCAAGCTGTAATTGTCTTGACAAGATTTCGATGGCGAATGTTCTTCAATGCTTCACATTCTGTAACAAAACTCTTGTTCGCTCCACATTTGTGCAGTTTGAGCACCTTCACAGCAATAATTTGTTCATTGGAGTTGAGAATCCCTTTATAAACAGAACCATATCCTCCCTCACCAATTAAGTTGGATGGAGAGAACCCATTTGTTGCTTGAAAAAGTTCTCCAAAAGATAGTTGTAAATATTGGTTTTGCAAAGGCGAGGCTAATTTGACTTGCTGTTTTGACCTTTTGTTTCGGTAAATAATAGCTAAAATGCACAATGACAATAGAACAATAGTGAGAGTAACTATTAGAACTATTACTCTATGGTTGAAAAGTTGTTTCCTTTTATTGAAGACTTGTGTTGGGCATGTAGGCAATTGCAATAGTTTAATTCCTCCGCATAGCTTATTATTTCCAACAACTGAGAAGGCACTAATGTTTTTGAAAACTCCTTCATTCGGAACTTCACCATCGAACATATTGTAGGAAAGATTGAGATATTGAAAGAACCGAAACTCCCCGAGAAACCTTGGAATTTGTCCAGACAAGTTGTTTCTAGAAACATCTAGTTCTTGAATACCTTTCAGTTGTCTAAAGGTCGTCGGAATTATACCTTTGAAAAGGTTACCATCGATGTGAAGGAATTCTAAAACTTCACAATTGCCGAGAGTGGCGGGGATTTCTCCAAATAGTTTATTTTTTGATGCATATAGTCCATCCAGATTTTTCAAGTTACCCACTTCTTGTGGTAGTAGTCCTGTTAAGTAATTTTGACTTAAGGATAGAATAATAAGAGAAGATAGACCAAAGATTTGATAAGGTATTGCTCCTGTGAGATGATTGTAACCAAGATAAATTTGTTGTAAATTGGTGCAATTGCCTAAAGAAATAGGAATGCTTCCCTCAATCATATTTATTGATAGGCCAAGTACACCAAGCCTACTCAAGTTTCTAATAGACGATGGAATCTCTCCAGAAATGTTATTGTTGTGAAGAAAGAGCTTTTCTAACACGGAGAGTTTTCCAATGGAATTTGGAATACTACCTGTAAGCAAGTTCTGATCTAGAAAGAGGCATTGCAAATTTACAAGGTTCTCAATACCAAGAGGTATGTTTCCAGATATATAGTTGTCTTTTAGATCAAACCAAATGATCTTGGTGGAGAGATTTGCAATAGAACGGGGCAACAAACCATTAAAATGATTTGCAGACAAATCCAGAAATTGTACATTGGAACAATTGGATAAAGAAGTGAGGAAGCTCGTTAATTCATTGGGTTGGTTTGTTCCAAGTGAATTGGTAGCAGCAGCAAAAAAATCTAAAGCATAAAGGGTTCCTAGATTCATAGGTATGGACCCAGTAAAGGAATTGTCGGTTAAACTAATTTACACAAGTCTCGTAGCATTGGCTATTGACGATGGAATTTGGCCATTGAATTGATTGAGTCCAACATAAAATCCTAGTAAATTTGGAAGGGTCAAGCCTAAATTTGGTGGTAGAATTCCATACAATTGGTTGCAAGCGATAGAGAATAGATAGATTGATGAGCTGTTGTAAAGCGAAGTAGGAACCATACCAGACAAATTGTTTGCGGATAGCTGAAGAAAATCCAACTTGGAAAGCTGCTCAAGTTGGGTGGGAATGCTTCCCTCTAGATTATTGTATATTAGAGAAAGCACACGTATATTTGAAAGGTTCCCAATTGAAAGTGGGATAGTTCCAGTGAGATGATTGCTACCAAGAATCAAGTAGGAGAGATTGGACAAGGAACCCAGCTCGGTAGGAATTTTACCTCCTAGATTGTTGCCATACATATTGATATGTCTCAAGTGTGAACAATGAGTCGAATTGGTAGGAAATTCGCCTTGGAAAGAGTTATTGGCAAGACTAAGATATTGCAGACGAAACAACTTGCCAATTTCCTGTGGGATTTCTCCATGAAAACTATTGTCACCGAGATAAATCCTCCTGAGGAAGGTGAGGTTCCCAATTTGAGGAGATACAGAGCCCACCAATGAGAGAGATGACAGGTTTAGGACTATCACACGTTGATGTCGACGACCGCATGAGACTCCTCGCCAATGGCAAAAGTGAATTGAATGATTCCATGAGCTTAAGGCACCCAGAGGATCTCCTTGTATCAAATCCTTGATTGCAAGCAGTGCCTGATGGTCTGTCTCATTGGTGAGAACTAAACTGGGATTGCCCTTGGCAGTGGTAATCAGTTCAAGAGAGTTCATGAAAAAGAAAATGAAACAAAGTATAGATGTACTAAGTAGACAACTGAGAAAAGTTGAGTTTGTTTGCTCCATTTGGTGTTAAAAATAGAATATTATTATGATGAGAAATGGAGCTGGTTAACTGGTATACATCAATGGAGAGCCAAATATATGTATTTATAGAGCCAAAGGCTTGGGACTTTTGTTTTTGTTTTTTGTTTTTTTGGTTGGCAAATTACACCGGTAATTCTTAGTCTTTGGTCATTGTACTATTTTGTTAGTTGTAATTTTGATTGACTCGGTTTTAATCTGAAATTTATAATTTTGTCTTTATTTAGTCCAATTAATTTCAATTTTCAGTATTTTTTTTAATGAAAAATGCGCATATAAGCATCACGTGTCATCCTTTTATAGAAAAATTATAAATTATTCAACTTAGTGAGTTAACCTGAACAAGTTTAGTGACCATTTTCTTTCAAAATTCCTAATTGGTATTATCAATTAGACCAAAGGGAAACAAAATTTAAAATTAATGATCAAAATTAAGTTAATTAAAATAATAAAGACCAAAATAATACAAAGGTTAAAATGTAGGGACTATAAATGTAATTTATTTTTGTTTTTGTTTTTGTTTTTTCCCTCTTTCCCCGTAGTTTATTGTGTTATTAAGGAGTCGTCGTCAAAAAGCCAAAAATTCAATCCCGTTAGCAAAGGGTCACATCATATATATCAATTAATTAATTTTTTTTCTCACAACTATTTATTTAACTAAAAAAATAATTCTTAAACACATCTTTTTTCACCTCTTAAAAAGCTTAAAAATTAAAAATCTACTAAAAAAAGAATATCTTAATTGCTCTTACTTTCGAGCTAATGAATAGAGGAAATTCACATCTACTCCATCAAGTGGAACTTGCACCGAATAATTTTATTTATTTATTTATTTCGTAATATAATTTTCATACGAGAGCCCTCTTGATTCGTGGACAGCTTTTCAGTGACGTCTATGGTTGAAATCAAAGTTGTGGGCCTGTCCTATGGCTCCTAGTTTATTTTTTATTTTTTTTTATGAGTAAATTACACAGTCACCCTTTGAAATTTTTGTTTAATATAATTTTTTTTTTATATTTGACAAATTACATTTGTCTCTCTGAAATTTGTAATCTCATTATAAATTATACTCTGGATTACTGATGTCATGTCCTAAAATTTTCTAAATAACTATCTTGCCATTTTCTGATATTTTTTATATAAATTTTTATATATGAATATAATTTTTTATTTTTATTTTTACCATTATATCTAAATTAAATCAATTTAATCTAGATTTATTTACAAAGTATACATTTGCACAAAATAATTTTAAAAAATCATTAAATACTACAAAATAAGATAATATATTGATTTTTTTGTGAATTAGGTAGAAAGAGGGAAAATAAATTAAAGAAAATTTTATTCCCCCCCTCCCCCCTCTCCCAAAACTGTACTCCTCTGATCATTTTCACACTTAAACTTTTGATATTGTCAATTTATCCCCTCACATATTTAAATCATGATCAATTTGCCCCTACTATCACATTTAAACAAAACATTTTTTTTTTCAAAAAAAGTAAACCAAATTTCAAATTCATCCATTCTCTTATCCTCTTTCACCCAAACCACTCTCTATCCTCCATCAACCAAACAACCATCGCGACCACCATCGTCACAATCAGAATTGTCACCAAACTAATTTTTAGTATTTTTCAAAAAAATCAGATTTTGAAAAGAAATATTTTCAAGAAGTGTGTTTTTTTGAGTATCTGCATTTCATTTTCAGCAGTGCTACAGACACTAATTGGTATATTAATTAGTGTACCAACATATATTAGGACATTGTCATTTCAAAACTACGACCCTACCTATTATACAAATTACAAATACTCAAAACATCTAAAATTGTCATATTATCTGTTAGTACACTAATTGGTATATCAATTGGTTGCATATAGACGTTTTTTGTGACAAAATTTTCAAACTGTCATTGAAAATTAAACAAATAGTGACTTTTCTCATAGTATTTAATGAAAAATGTCATTAATCATCACATGATCTAATAGACAATAAGTCCACCTATTAAGATTTACATGTAAGTCTCCCTTTATAGTACCCACTGATGTGATATTTCTGCTAATTTAAATAACTATTTTAAGTTTAAAAAATATTTGAGCCATCCCCAATCCCACCACCACCATTACTATTACCATTATCACTATCACTATTATCAGTGCAGCCAATCACTTCCGTTAGTAATACAATTGTTAGTTCATCAATATTAAAATTATAATTAAATATAAAAAAACATTTTTTTAATTTTATTTTACATAAAAAATATTTTTTGTGATGAAATATTATTGGTCCAAACAAATGGAGGATTAAGAAAAAAAGGGCGATGTCTTTGGCAATACTATAATTGCAATCTTGACTATAAAATTAGTGGTCGAGCTAACGTATGCATTTGTTTTTCCAAGTAAAATTAATGAAGTCAAGTGGTGAAGAAAGAAGCACAATACCCTTGGACTAACTTGATCACTTGTTCATTGAACTGTTCCATTGTGACGATCACGGATTTGGAGTGGTTGCTGTTGGTGAAACATAGTAGTCAAAGTTGATTTTGGATTTTATTTTGGTGATTTGATTTTTTTAAGGTATATTTATGTAAAACAAATTTATAAAAAATCAAGTTGATTAGATATCGATAGTCTTTTTATCAAATTATATTTAAAATAACACTTGTTATTCTCGAACATTATTAAATATTTCATCAAATTACATTTGTATTCAGTTTTATATTTAAAATAATGTTTACCATTCATTTTTTTCTATACACGTGTTTTGATGAGTGAGCTATCAATATCTGATCAATTTGATTTGTGCAAGTTTGTTCTATGCCATATGTCCTAAGAATAAATTATTCGAATCATCAAAATAAGACTTAGAATAGGCCACAATGCACGCACAACATGTTGTGCTTCACGCACAAGAGACACCAAAATTTGAAAGGCACAAAGTTTCTAATAAATTGGGGTATTGATTAAGATTTGATTATTGAAGTTAATTATAATTTATTGTGATATTAGTTATGATATTATTTTAATTATTATTTAAAAAAAGTTTAATTATATTTTATGTGATATTTGATTATAATAATAATTATTTTTTTAGTTAAAACTCTCATAAAATTAAATTATGACATTTACAATGATATGCTCTAAAATCAACAAATTCTGCCACTAATAAGAAACCCCACTATCTAAATCCACATAAATCCATTGCTCATCAATGGTATGGCATAATTGGTGGATAAGTGGAATTCATCATCAATTCATGGAAAATTATTAAATCCACATAAATATAGTGCCATTGCTCATCATATGGTATGGCGCAATTGGCGGATAAGTGGAATTCATCATCAATTTACGAAAAATTTATTAAGTATTTTAAAGTAGGATAAATTATAAATACATTTTTAAATTTTACTTAAAATATAGATTAATTTTGGAGAATTTGATTAAATCCCTTTCATAATAAAATTTTAATGTATTAAGAACAATCATAAAAACAAATTAAAAAAGTCTAACTGTAACGCTCCCAAAATAATATAATAAATATAACCCAAAGCATAAGTAACAATTACATAAATCAGAGTGTAAAGTCTTTTCATTTCATAACATTAATAGCACAAAAGAGTTTAACATAAATAAATACCGCTTTAGGCTTACACCTTTCCAAGTCTTGGCTTGGTTACAACAAAAGTGAGACTAGCTCATACAATTTTAGCCCTAGGGTATACAAAAATAAAACAAAACGAAGAAACTCTTGCGTCCCAAAAGTCCCTCCAATGCTATTGCCTTAGTGGAGGTATACCATCAATACCTGAAAATGTTTTTCCCAAATAGGGTGAGCCATGGCCCAGTAAGAATAATCTAACACAGTATATGAGGTTTAACGAAGATATAAGTGCAATGTGCATATACAATGCTAGAGAGAAAACATTCACTTCTTTATATAGTCATCGAATACCAAGTTCATATTTCATTTCATTTTCCTTCAATCCATTTCAATACATGAGCCAATGTCATTATTTTTCAATAACCCAAATGAGACTACAACTCCA